CAGCTGCAGAATCCAGAAGTCAGATTTCAGCAGCAACTCGAGCAGCTCAGTGCAATGGGATTTTTGAACCGTGAAGCAAACTTGCAAGCACTAATAGCAACAGGAGGTGATATCAATGCGGCTATTGAAAGGTTACTGGGCTCTCAGCCATCATAGCAGCATTTCTGTATCTTGAAAAAAAAAATGTAATTTATTTTTGATAACGGCTCTTAAATCTTTAAAATACCTGCTTTATTTCATTTTGACTCTTGGAATTCTGTGCTGTTATAAACCCAATATGATGCGTTTTAAGGTGGAGTGCAGTAAGACGTGTGGGTTTTTCTGTGATTTTCTTTATGGGAACAGTGGGAATCAATGCTTTTCATTTTAAGGCTGCTGCATGCATCAAACACTTCTGCATTCATTGTAATTTTTTAAAAGCATCACCTTTTATAGTTGGGTGAATAAATTTGTCCTGCATCTGTCCAGTTTATTTGCTTTTAAACATTAGCCTATGGTAGTAATTTATGTAGAATAAAAAAATTAAAAAGAAAAAAAAAAAACTTTATGAAGAACCCTCAAGCCTTCACAGTAAGAAGAAAACAGCTGGGGAAATGCCTTGGTTTGTAAAAGGGGAGAGAGTTCTGGGGAGAACAGCAGCTGACCCAGCTGGCTGCTTTCTGAGAAGTCCAAGAGCCACCATGGGAGCCTGGAGAGGGGAGAAGCCACAGGAAAGGAATCAAAGGAAAGGAGGGGAGCAGGGAGAGGAGAAGCAGCTGGGACCAGAGTCCCACTAGCTACCAGCACAGGCAGATAAGGAACCGGCCCCAGTGGAGTCCCAACAAAGAGTGGAACAGAAGAAGATGGGAGCCATGGTGCAGACAGATTACAGAGGTGCTGATGAGCACTGAAGGGACTCTGGAACGAGGCCTGAGTAAGGAGAGAATAAAGAGCCATGTGTAAGGTTACCTGTAGATAAAAATTTCTCTACCTTCTTACTGAATACCTATAGCGAGAGCGGAAGTATGTCCTGCTGTCTTTCTAATAAAAAGCACTATTTTAACGTCCCATCTCTGTAAACGATTATTTCAGGTAACTGTAGGTAACTCTCGTGCACTATGCCAGATTTTTACAAATCCTATATAACGCTGATTTTTTTACGTTCTAAGAATGACAGTACAACTGAATGGTTATAATGTAATTTTTTCTTTTTGTCAGTTCTAATTTGTTATTAAAGATTTGTGTTTGTTTCAATCAGCAAAATGTAATTGTTGAAATTCATTAGTGTGAATTAAACTGACTTTTATCAATTTAAAAAAAGAAATTCTAGTAACTACCTCAACATTAACAATGAACAAGATCCTTTGTTGCAGTTTTTAATATTAAATTTATAAATATTACAGATGATTTCAATTTATTCATCATTTATTACCTTTGAGAGCTAAGTTTAGCATATCACCAGCACGGAATGAAATTTCTTCTTCAGACATTGAAGCAAAATCATATTCTGCTCTAGCAACTACGTGGTCATCCTCACCACTTGCCCAGTTGGTGTTGTCTATAAGCCAAATTGAGAATTAAGATGAGGTTAGTAAAGCTTAAAAAACAAAAAGGCAGATATTACAGTAGTTATTGCCTATACATTAGACATATTTATTTGCCAAGTCTTCCCCTTTTACTAAGTGAATCTTTACTGAAATAAATCCTACAGGGCTGGCCAAATAGCTCAGTGGATTAAAATGCCTGCTTAGGAAGATGCAGTGGCCAGGGTTTGATTCCTGGCATGCCGTGCTGGCCCCGCCCCCCCCAGGGCTCACTGAGACTGCAACTGAGACTGGGCATGGTGGTGCGCACCTGTAATCCCAGCGCTTGTGAGGCTGAACACAGGCAGATCACTATGAGTC